ATTTAATTATATGAATATTTTTTAAAATTTTAACTAATGAATGAATGTTTTAATTGAATAAATAAAAATTATTTATATTTTTATAATTAATTATTGAAACTTATATAAATGTTAATGATTATGCCTAAATATATGTTTGATAATAGCTCAATTTTTCAATAAAACATACACCGTGAATTGGGGTTAGTGAAACGTTTTCAACAAGCATGTATGGCGCATTTAATACACCGTAAATTGGGCTGCACTCCTGCATCTCATTATTTTTCTTGGAAAACTTTTTTTTAACAACTCTTCGTTGACAACATTTTGGTTCATGGCAACCAACAAGATTATTATTATATATTTAGGAATTCCAAACAATTTCAGCCTTGGTCAAATTCCTTAAAAGCCTTTAGCTTTTTTCTATGCCAACTGCACAATGGAGAAGGTCACGGTTTCATGTATCATTTTGACAATGCTCTCGAATTAAAACGGGAATTGAAATCGAAACTCGAGATGAAAGTCTGATTTGGATTACAGAGCAATTCTAAAAGCACCGAAAGAAGTTCACCAAAGTTTTGCCCTTGTATTGTTTTTCCTATATATAACCAATTTGGATTCGGCAAAGAGCACATAATTTCTGATATCAAAAGCTTTCATATCAGTACCAAAAGGTAAACAATTGAATGCGAAAAAGTACCAAGTGAAATCAAATGAAGGTAACACTGAACATAGTGAGTCATGAAACTGCTAAACTGATAGAAAAAAGAAACAGGGCATATCAGAAAGAGGAGAAAGTAATCGATTAGACATTAGATTAAGCGTCATATACACAACATTTGATAAGCTCTTTTCCATCATCCACCATCATCTGCCACATAAATGTATTCTTAAATCCTAGAGAGAAATTATAAATCATCCTAAACCCAGTAAGAGCCAACATCATCATCATCATCATCATCATCATCAAAGGTTTTTCCTATTAGGAAGTGGCGAAGGTCCATCAGAAATAGCAGGCCTAGAAGCGCAGGACCTGAGAGAACCAACTCGCATGAACATCAAAACCGAGGCCATAATCTTCTTGACCTTAACGGCAACCTTCTTGAGCTTTAGCTTAGGCTTTTGAGGCTCGACAAAAGTGTTACTGTCCAAGGAAGAAAGCTTGTAGGTAGTGAGAAAGACTTTCCTTTGCTTGGCCCTTCTGCGTCTGTAGCTGATGGATTTCAGCATCTTGTCTTTGTTGCCCTGCAGACCAAGAACCTCGTATCTGTATCTGCGGCTGAAGGTGAGGGTGGTGTTGCGAACAAGTGTGCTCATGATGCCTCAAAATATATTTATTCACACTCACACAGACACACTGATCTTCAAGTGGAAAGAAAATACGGACACGCCTTTTGATTCAGATTTAACGTTGCTGCCTGCAAATTGCAAATGAAGTTTTTCTTCATAAATATGTCTCTCGCACGTTTTGGGGTTTGGTATAGACTCGTGTAAAAGCGTGTTTGACTGTTGACCGTTATTTCCTTGGTTTTTCGCACTTGGCGTGCGCACTCACTTTTTTTTTTCATTTATGGCAACATCAGATTTTTTTTTTACCAAATCTAAAATTTTATATGATTAATGATTTTACAGTGTGGTTGTTGGCACGTGCAACAAAGACTACTGCTAATATTACACTTTTTTGAGTGACAATCAAATATTAAAAAAAAGAAAGAATTTTGGTTTCCACTTATCAAATTTTAATTCCAAAAAATATTATATAATTATCGTAGTTCCCCTTTCAATCCCTTGCTAATTTTCTTTTAAACATTTGGTAAATACTAGCATGGCATGAAATTTTTATATGGTAATTACTTGTTAAGGGTTGAATTAGGCATACATGTCTTTCATTAATTTACTCGTTTTGTTATTATAGATATTCGTTTAATATCGATGGATATTTTAAAACCACGTGTACATGAGATATAATGGATATTTAAAAACCATATTTTATATAATTTTAAAATAAAATTTAAATAAAATTAAAAATATAAATTATAATATAAATTAAAATAAATATAAATTAAAATTTAATTTTAATTAAATTTAACTTAATAAAATATAAATTAAATTTTAATTTTAATATTTTCATACTATATAAATACGAATAATATGATACTTATACTCGATTCATTTATAAATAATATTAAAATAGTTTCAACTCACTTTGTATCCAAATCATATTAACGTGTATTATAACAATACATTACTTATTATATCTAAACTAATGTAAAAAATTTGTCGAACAAATAATATTTTTACTAATACTATCACAATTTTCACACTTCCTATTTTGTTGATAACAAATAAAAGAAAGTCTAAATTAATTGGTTTAAATATGAGCACAAAAATTATTTAATTTTAAATTAGAATCAGAAACAAAAGTAGAAATGAGTATATATCTATTTTTTATGGTTGATACTGTTTTAAATTATTAAAACATTATTAGAGTTAATTACAGTATTCAAGATATTATTTATTTTAAATCTCAATTTTAAATTTAATTATGTAAAACTGTGGAGCTACTAGCACAATTATTTTTTAATTTAATATGAATAACCCCTTAAAGTCATATTAAATTGAATTCAGAGTCCACACACATTGAAATTAAAGGAGGCTTACATAAGTAGGAATAATAACATGGGAAACGAAGCTTCGCGTTACTCTATTATTTGACCATTTCACCAGGCCATAACTCGTTAACATCGATATTCTCTGAAAATGACATTTTTAGTTTATTTATTTATTTTCACAATTTTCTTCTGGAAGAAAACTGGGTGAATGCTTTGAATTGAATTTGTGCTTTATTGATTTATTTGTTTGTGGTGAATGCAATGAGAACTCTGTATTGATTCCGTTGATTTCTAGAAGAAAATAGTCGTTTGTTCATATTGTATTTAGTATCTCTCTGTATTGCTTTAATTAGCCATAGAACTTTCTACAATTTTGGGAGAATAGTTTCATGTTTACTTTCTCTTCGTAATCTTTGCTTCCAAGTTCCATTGTGAGAAAGAGAGTAGGAATTCTTGTTGAGAAAGTAAGATTATTTT